ATTACAAATTTTAAAATACATTTGTTATTGTTTTACGCGTGTTTAAAATATATCGCGCGATCGATAAATATTTATTCGTGCGGAACCGCGTTATAAATCGTATAGTGCTTTCTAGCGATACCTTAAGCTATCATCTATAGAAAAGAAACGAGTATCCAAGAAGGAAATATATTCGATCCAAGAAAATCGATCGCAACGAAAGATAATGATCTACAATATTAGATGATAGAACTGCATAAAAAATTAAACGATAAAATAAGCGCAACAAAATTTCTGATCCTTTGCACGACACGATGAAATGGTATACGGCATTCCTAATTTTTCCTTTAAAACAAATTTCATTGTATAATAAAGCTATCGTATTACAACCAAGTTATATAGTATAAATAAAATTGAAAATCCATCGCGCGTGATTCGATTTATACAATATTATAATTTATTCGCTATATAGCCTTACGAATTTATACAATCTGCGGCCCTGTTTAATGTAAGTAAATTTAATAACTTAATATCGATCCAATTTACGCGTATCATATTGGCAAATATTAGATTACATAGGGGCAGATTGTAACTGGTCAACCTTTTAGTACAACATGAAAATGGTACATAAATTAAAAATCTTATCTAGACTGTGCAATGTAGTAGATAGTTCAGCGTGTAGCGATAATTTACCAATAAAATTAATTATCATCACCTGATATTTTAAAGAACTTTTAAACGCTCGTATAAAAAGATATAATATATAGATACTAATGTGTCGTAAATTTCAGTATTTTTAACATTCACTCGCTTGACGCAATTAAATTAAATTAAATTAAATTATACTTATTCTTCCAGATAATATTTACTCTTCCACGGTTTTATAATATAACAATTTAAATATCGATTTGAAAATAAGAAAACCAACACGTGCTTAGTTACGTAAGCAAATACCAGAAAGCATGATAAATATTGAACCCATATCCATTTCAATTCTTCCCAAATACTAGGTTGATAATGAATTAAATAATCCCTATAAACTAGTTCTCCTTGGATAACTACTACGTTTTCGCTCGAATAACCCGACTGTTCCATTACATATTTATCGCTTATTTTAGCTGCAACTGAAAGAAATTTTTATTACCGTATCTTCTTTCTAGTAAGGGATAACATTGAAAAATATCGCTTACATTTCCTCTTAAAATTTTCCATAAGTAATTCATCTATGGAATAGTCAGCAATTTCTATACTCTGATTATACGTTTGATATAAACCTTCGCTACTGATCACGCTCTTTTGTTGCAATATCAAGTCACCGTAGAAACATACTTTCTGCGCCTCTTCGTTTAACGTATGAGTAAAATATGCAATGGATTCTATCGTCGTCTCCGCTAACTGCTATAACAGAATTAATATCGTCGCTTATAAATAACAAAGCAAGAATAATACAATAGCGATAAGAAGAAACGATAGCAAAATAACAAACGTACGGTCTTACCTTTAGTTGGAAATCGAAGAAAAGTAAAAGTTTAAGAGATCTTATAGGTTCGTCGGTATAAAAGTGTGCTTCAAACTTTAAAATGTCCTTTCTACCATCCATATTTGTATCTATTTCTCGAACCTAAAATCTTTAAATTCTCATTAATTCTTATGCAAAATATATATACGATAACAACAGTTTACAAATATCGATATAATAATTCGTATCTTTTACATTATAATAACATAAAGATAAAACCTTTATCAATATACAGTCATCCTTGATTTCGTTATCCTTGTATGTTTTAGAAGTTGAACAAATTATAGGATTAATACTGTAATCTCTGTTTGCTAACAAAATATATTTGTAGTTAAACGATACATCAGGCTTCTCCATTAGTACACGATTTTTCAACGAGTAACCTGAAAATTATATTAGTTAACTATATAATACAGAATATAAAAATATAAATTACGCTGCCATAAAATAGGATACCATAGTTATGAATGTTACGAATTATGCTAAAATATACTGACATAACTACGTGTAAAAATAAAATGTTAAAAAATATATACCTCCTGTGTTCGAAATAATGAAAAAAGGGGTAATCAACGATAAAACTATAAGAAATAGTACGACGAGAAAGCTTAAAGAACATATTTTACTTTTGTATTTATAATCGATAGGACTTGAAAATATTTCGAGAGCAGCCATTTTCGCGCGTTGCCTTGGAAACGATTAAGAAAATAAGTATATACGTATATACATATATATATACATATATATATGTATATATACATACGTAGGTACATGTGCATAAGTAATAGCCGCAAAGATATAAAGATAGAGCACGGGCAGTCATACGTTATGTTTATATAGTACAGTGTAAGTGGACGCGATGTGGGAAAAGAAAGAGAACGCTGGCACAGAGGCGCCTTCTGTCCTTGTCTAATTAGGCATTTATTGGAAATTTTTGGATTTTATTGGAAATTAATTAATTTCCTAACCCCAATCTAGTGCTGCACTATGCGGCCAAGCGCTGAAATCAACTAAAGTTAGCATACACAAGAACCTATAAAATCAGGGGTCTACCCTCTTTAGTTGCACACTAGCATAGACAACATAGAACCAACCGTCAATCGTTAATTTACTATGTAAGAAAAGACTAAAAGCGAATTCAAGATAGTCACGTTTACAGTATATTCTGTAGATTCGGAAATATCGAATTCACGTAGTTCTAATCCTACGTTCGTTCATGTTGACGGTTGTACAAAGAATGCTCGAAAAAACTCCATGTCTATGTTAAATTGCAACCAAACAGGGCTGATCCTTAATTTTATAGGTTCTCGTATATGCTAACTTTAGTTAACCTCATGGTTGACCGCTTGGCCGCATGGTACAGCACCTGTACTGTAAAACAACTGGAACTACGGACGTGAGCATTCTCGTTTTCTCTTCGGTTTGGTTAAAATATAGCGATAATAATCTTTACTTAGTTGTAAGATGTAACATTATTGCCTTTTCTTATTACTATTTAGTTGGTTTCTCCTTCCTAAAGTTAAGAGTTGTATCTTCGAATTCGACGCATTGAAAGCTACCAAATTGCAATAAAATCAGAAAAACCAATAATGTTATTTCCATTAACACGAAGTTCAGCCGTATTTTTACTTACCTTCGTACGTAATAATATTATTAGTAGATCGCATTAATTCGTGCCGCTGGGGACAGATGACTCTGAAACGGATGTTGCTTTAATTCATGCTGTAGCCGTTAGGTTTTAGAGGTTGAACATTTTGTTATTTGCACAGTCAACAGGTGTCGCTCATGCGCATAGAAAAAGCTGATAAAAATCGAGGCGAATATCGAACGCAATAAAATATTTCTCCGAAATGGTTTCGTCATTTAATATGCAAAAGAGTGCAGCTGAAGCTTATCAATCGATTCTAGGCATTTATAGTGAAGCCGCTCTTTCGGAAGGAACATGCAGGAAATGGATGCAACGTTTCAAACAAGGTGATATTGAAACTCAAGACAAGAAACGCTCAGGGCTGCCGAAAAAATTTGACGATGAGGAACTGTAGGAGTTATTGGATGGAAATCCGGGACAGACGCTTAAAAAATTGTCAGTAGTCCTCGGAGTCGGTATATCGACCGTGTCGAGACAGCAACATGATCCAGGGAAAATCTACAAGAAAAGAAAATGGGGGATGCCTTGTTGATTGTCAGAAAGCTGAAAGTTGAATGAATCGCTTGGCATTTGCATTTCCTTGCTTTCTAAGCATAGGGGGAAGTAACTGGGAACGAAAACTGGATCTACTACGGGAACCCGAAACAGAGGAAATCGTGGGTGGGCCCCGAACAATTTCCAACATCGACACCAAAACGGAATATCCATGGAAAAAACATAATGCTATGCATTTGGTGAGACATGGAAGGCGTGGTGTATCATGAATTTCTAAATTCTAGTGAAACGGTTAATGCTACAATTTGTCAACGCCAACTGAAGTGATTGAAGGACGAATTAATGCAAAAAAAAAAAAAAAAATGCTCATCGATGGCCAGTAGTAGGCGCAAAAAGTACGGTTAGACAAACACTGATGAACCTGGAATGGGAAATTTTCCCGCACCCACCATACACTCTCGACACTGCTCCTTCCGGTTTTCACTCTTGTTCCGTTCCATGCAACACGCCCTGGAAGACACGCATTTTGCCAATCTCTCGAGGAACTTTGAAAATTGAAATCGATGATTGGATCACCTCAAAAGAGAAGCCCTTCTATCGACAAGGGATCCAGCTTTTACCAAAAAGATGGCAAAGTATAGTCGAAATTGCAATTGCAATTACTTTGATTGATATCCGATTGTAACATAATATGAAAATAATACATATTTCAAGTAAAAAAGCGGCATAAATTAATGCAACCCCTTCGTAATTAAAAAAAAAAAAAAAAAAAAAAAAAAC